AAAAAAAAAAAAAAGGTCTAATCCACCCTGAAGCTATTAACAGTCTTAAATCCAATATCAAAGTGTTGAAATATATAAAGCATTCATTCCTCCTCTGGTACCTACACCCTGATTCTCCTCTGGCCACTATATTTGGCTACTGTTAGTATAGCTCAGGTATTACTAATTCCATCCCTGATTCATGGATGGGATGTGTATTTGTTTGAGTGTGTGCAGGTATATTCCCTAGGCCTCACCAATTAATTAGAGAATTACAACTATATCTGGCCAAAAATGGTGCCAGAATATACCTAATACCCATTCAAGAGTTAATTCCAGGACCTGGGCTCGAGTGACTAGGAGAAAAGATAACTTTTTTCTGTGGTCTTCAACACAGGAAGATGTAAGCTTGAATTTGTTAGGAACAGGCACTAGAGAAAAAAGCCTGCTTGAGAACACAATGAGAGAAACAAAAACAAAAACAAAAAACAAAACTCAATGAAATGGAGAGAATACATGCTAATATTACTGTCTGGGTTCTATTTCTAGCCACACTTGGATTTTTCAGTTATGTTACTCAATAACTCTTTTTGCTTAAGCCAATCTGAATTTTCATGAGCTGCAACTTACAACTTCTTGACTGATACAGTCTTCAGTAATCATGTAAGGCAGCTGAGAAAGCAATGGAAATAAGCAAGTATATAAGGATCCCGTGAAGGGATGCCTGGCTGACTGAGTCGGAAGAGTGTATGACTCTGGTCATGAGTTCAAGACCCAAGTTGGGTGTGGAGATTGCTTAAATAAATAAAAAACTTATTAAAAAAAAAAAAGGATCCTTAGAAGTCACTTTTCAAATAGTACCAATGTGCAATGTCTACTTTTTTACACTCTGATTATAGTAGCAAAGAGAAAGTGAACAGAGGTATGCCACACACATCATGGAGAGTTCTTTTCTTCTACCCACCTCCTTTTCATAAAAACTTTCAAATATACAGGGGCGCCTGGGTGGCTCAGTGGGTTAAAGCCTCTGCTTTCGGTTCGGGTCATGATTCCAGGGTCCTGGGATCCAGCCCCACATGTGGCTCTCTGCTCAGCAGGAAGCCTGTTTCCTCCACTCTCTCTCTCTCTGCCTGCCTCTCTGCCTACTTGTGATCTCTATCTGTCAAATAAATAAATAAATCTTTAAAAAAAAAAACTTTCAAATATACAAAAAATTGAGAGACAAACACACTATTCACCCATTACGGTACAGCCACCACTCAAGTTCAACAATCCTTGATATATTCTCTTGGGTGGGGGTTGGAAAGTAAGCCGCAGACCTAAGGCTTCACCTCTAAAATACTTCAATGTTCATCATTGCGGAGGGCCGGATTCTAGCTCTTTAAATCCTGCACAGGCTTTCCCCTTCTAGCACTTCTTTGAACTATTTGCTTTCATAATTTGCTTCAGCACTTAAGGTGCTTTCTTACGCTTCTATTTAACAGTCATATGTATGTTGTTTCCCCTAGACAGACACATATTTCAATAGGTATGTGCCACACCTTCTTTCAAAATAGTTTCCTATGTTATTCAAGCACAGAAATGAGCATAAAAGTTCAAAGAAGGGCAAGGCTTTCTATATACCTATTGATAGTGACAATAAACACTAGGTGGAGAAGGTACTAGGGGTACATACAAGCCATTTTCTACCTAGTTCATTAGATACTCCAGGAGTCTCTTAGAGCTGGAACCCAGCTCTCTATACGGGCTCTAGCAGACACAGAAACTCCTATCAAAAAGGAGAGAGTGCATCTGTACTCCGAGAAATAACAGGGAGACGGGTTATTTTTAATAGAGACTCACACTCACCTGGGATCTAGCTGTGAGGCGCAGAGCTGCCACTTCTCCCTCTTCTGTGCTCTGCTCTGGGGAAAAGGGAGAGTCCTGGGAAGACAGAGCTAAGGACAAGAAAGCAGTATAATGATAGGGCCTAGATCCATCCTGTGATTCAGATTTACAAGTCGAAAATTCCCTCCCCATACTAATGGTGCTCCCTACAAACACTGTAAAGGAAGGGGGGGAGCCCCAAACAACCCAGGATCCCGGGATCATGGAGAAATGTCTAGAAGTGTTGCTACTCAGGACTTAAGTTCACTCAGTTGCTGTAATTCTAACACATTCTGGAAAGATGGCACACTCTGATCTAGAAATAAAACTAAGTCAGTTTTCTCCCTGAGCTTAATGTCCATATCAAAAAAACAGGCTCAGTAGCTTTCAGAAATCACCCTGCAAGCTTATTTAAAACGAAGATTGCTGAATCCCACCTCCAAATAATTATCATTAGTTCAATCTATGGTGCAATCTAGAAATCTAACAGGCACTTGGGAAGGTAATCCTGATGTAGGAGGTCAGAGACCAAACTTCAACAAAGACTGCTCTGGTAAACTGGAGATCAGTCACTGACTTCTAGGCCCGCTTTCTCCTATATAACACAAAAAATGATTTGCTTATTGAAGTCACATGGTAATCATGCAAAGTGGCATAAAAGGCGTGGAAATTATTTTGCCAACCAGAAAGCGAAATTCTCAGACCCACGACTGAGGCTAGGTTGGCATAATCATCTGGGAGGAAGAATGTGTGCGAAAAAGTAATCAGGGCTCTGCTCACGCCTTAGAAGCTAACCTTCCGCTCGGATTTTGCGGGTGGCTTTGAAGGGTCCATTATGCGCCTAGCTGGAGAGGAGAGAGGGTGGATCCCACACCAAGCCCTTCGTGCTCCCTCCAAGAGCCCATCAGTCCCCCAGACAAAGGAGACGGACAGCACTCTCCGCGAAGAGCCACCTTCTGTGAGGCAACTGATTTCCCTTCGGGAGGAAAGAATTTCTCCCTCCCCAACACAAGTTCAACAACACTTCGGCAACTCCTACCTCTCTTCTCAGGCTTGTCGGCCAAGTCGGTCTCCATGATCACTACCTGCTCCGGGTTCCGAATATTCTGATCTCCCACCCAGTTCAGACTTCTCCGGGCAGAACAGCGAGAAGCCCCCGCGGCCTCGTCGTCCTCCTTCCTGCCCTCCCTCCGGGGGCTCTGCTGGAAGGCTTCGATCAGCTCGGGTCGGGATTTTTCCTCACTCTCGAGCCTGGCTCGGTCCTACGAGGCTGGAACCTGGAAACCCGGGGACAGCATCCCTGAGGCTGGGTGCCAGGTGCCTGTCCCTGCCGCCTGCAGCTGTCCCTGGGGGCACTGAGCGGCTGCGAGGGACCAGCCAGGTACCAGGAGCGCAGACAAATCCCGCCGCGCTCCGGGCTCTGCCAGAAGCCCCGCAAAGGCCCCGCGCCCCGCCCCTCGCGCACCCGCCGGCACCGCGCTCACACCCGCGTCCCGGGGAGGCGGCAGCCGCGGGAGGGATTCGGAACGGAGCGCGAAGGGATGGGGCTCGTGGTCCGCCCTCGAGGCCCCCTCCATAAACGCGCACTCCAGCCCCGACTCGGCACGAACTGATGCCTCAGGGGCCACCATCCAGGCTGACTGGAGAAGAGCGCCATGGGAACCGCCAACTCACCTCCCATCCCGGGCCTGACAAAGGCTACGAACTTCTTGGGCCAGCTCGGAGTCGCGCATGCGTAAGAAGGAGCGGGGCAAGGCTGCCAGGCCTCAGCCAGCCCCGGAACTACGAATCCCAGAAGCCCCTGGGAGTTGCCATACTCCGTTTCTCTGCAGGTGGGAGCACACGTGGCGGGGTTGGGAGAATCGAGGGAGCTGTGGTCTCCTTCCCTCTCGCGAGAGTATCGGGCCGCCGTGCTGGTGTCGGATTCACCCAAGGCAGATCGCTAACCATAGAGAGACGGAGCCGAGTTGGTGTCGGTACCCGAGCTTTGTGTGCTCGTGGGACTGCCCCGCAGTGCTTAGGGCTGCTGAGGAATTCAACCCTAATGACTTACCTGTAAACTATGTTACAGGATATGTCTTTTCCCATACTTTTGTCCTCCCCAAACTCAGCCTTTGCCTTCAAACAACGTGAAAGGCGTGTTTTGGGGAACAGCAGATTGTCTACCCAGACCGATGTTCCTGTATCCATAGACTGCTTTGTGATACTGAAAATTAACTTGCGTGAAATAGATGAGTTGAAAAGACTCAGCCAGTTTCAACAAATTTGGAGCAACAGATTTCCTTGCAGCCATAAAAATTTAATTTATATAAAGAGGTTGTTTGCTCAGTGGAGCAAGGTTAGTCTCTGATTCTGCTCTTGCACGAAGCTACCCACCCCAAACTAAACATCTAAAAACATCTAAACTGCTCTTCTCAGTGAATTGTTTTCACAGTCCACAAACCCGTTCACAAAAGCCAGAACTAGAATATTCTCAACTCTTCCTTTTCACTATTTATCTCCAAGTCCTATTTGTTACATTTTTAAACAGCTCTCCAGTTTTGTTCATCTTTCTATTCCCACTGGCCTTCCCTTATCTCTGGCCACCACCCTTTCGCGAGGATTACACTGAGTCTCCTAAGTGATTTTCCTAACTCCATTTTTCTCTCCTACGTGTCCATTCTCCACACTTTCTGGGCAGTGATCATTCTAGAGCCAGAATTTAATGTTCTTTTACTGCTTAAAACTTTAGAAATGTCTTTCAAAAACTTTGAGGAAAGATGATCCTTAGTCCTCAGAAGGTACTCCTTCTCTGGTTCCCATTATCTGTTGTGGCTCACACCCTTGTGTAATCTTCTCTTCCTGGGTAATCCCCTCTTCTGGAGTGTAAGTAGCACCTGGGACTTACTGTTAAACAATTGAACACAACAAAGGTGACATGTCTCATGCTTCTTGCTGGCCTTGATGAAGCAAGGGTGTGATGTTGGGGGGCTCACATGGCAAGTATCTATGGGTGGACTTCAGCCAACAGCCAGCAAGAACTAAAATCTGTCAACAAACCCCTGGTGCTTGGAAGTGGATCATTTCTAGTAGAGTCGTCACATGAGAACCCAGACCTGGCCGAAACCTTAATAGCTGGCTGCAGAGGACCCAGTTAAGCTGTGCTCAGACCTCACCCAAAGATACCGTGTGATAATAAATGTATGCTGTATTGAGCCACTAAGTATATAGTAATATTGCTATGCAAAGAAAAGATTACTAATACAGCATCCTAATGTAGAGGACTAACTCTTTTCCCAAAACCCAACCTGAATATCCATTGGAAGGAGGGAGGTTGTTGAATTGAGAAACTATTGAAAAATTGATTGGCGGGGCACCTGGGTGGCTCAGTCATTAAACGTCTACCTTTGGCTCAGGTCATGATCCCAGGGTCCTGGGATTGAGCCCCACATCTGCCTCCCTGCTCAGCGGGAAGCCTGTTTCTCTCTCCCCCACTCCCCTTGCTTGTGTTGCCTCTCTTGCTGTGTGTCTCTGTCCGATAAATAAAATCTTTTTTTTTTAAATTTTGTTTATTTATTTGACAGACAGAGATCACAAGTAGGCAGAGAGGCAGGCAGAGAGAGAGAGGAGGAAGCAGGCTCCCCGCTGAGCAGGGAGCCCCATGCAGGGCTCGATCCCAGGACCCTGGGATCACGACCTGAGCCGAAGGCAGAGGCTTTAACCCACTGAGCCACCCAGGGGCCCCCGATAAATAAAATCTTTAAAACAAAAATTGATTGGAAACCCTCTGGAAGGTAGATGGCTACAGTTGGTCCTAGGGGGGTGTGTGTGTGTAGATAGGGAGCTCATGGCTGTAGCAATGGAAGACAGATGCTACAAGGAGACTGCAGGGAGATGCTATAGGGAGTGGGGTGCTTTTTGGTGTTTTGTTGTGCTCCTTTCCATCTACTCCCACATTACCCTGTGTAATTCTTTGCCCACTCCTTCACCATGGCACAGGGTAGACCTAGAACAGGGCCAGGAGAAGAGTGGATATTAATAGATGCAATCATATCCACCTCAAAGGGTTTTATTGAGCTTTCTCCCACTCTGACACACACACACACTGAGCCAGGCAATTACTGTAAAAAAAAAAAAAAGAGGTAGAGATAGAAAGGTTCTCTGAGGGATAAGCTCATCTGGTAGGAAGAGAGTAGTAAATGCATAGATTCTCTGTTTTTAAAATAACTCAAATTCCCCTAAATAGTCTTTGCCCTCTCTACATACAAACATACAATCTACAGCTTGGGCGCTTCCTGGTGAGTTGAAGAAGACTGAGGAAACACTCCAGGGCTTGGATCCCTTCCCTTCCTGTGTTACCAGCTTATAACCTGGGCCTGGAGAGTATGGCTTTACAGGAAAAAAGAAATACCTGAAGAACTCTGTTGCCTTAAAAAGAAAATAAACTGGACAATTTATAGAAGATAAAGCAGAATTAGTGGACCATTTAGGATAAAATATATGTATTTTTAAAAAGCTGTCCTAAAGGATAAAGGAGGGCATAAGAAATATTTAGTGAGAATGTATCGAAACGAAACCATGTGTGAAAAATAAATGGTTGAAATAAAATATTCAATATTTTATTGAATACCAGAATGTATAAAGCTAGAGTAAATGTTATAGCTGGGCACTACTCTTCCATAAGAGAACAGAAATGGATAAAAAGTTGAAAAATATAAAAGAAATTTTTTAAAGATTTTATTTAATATTTGACAGAGAGAGACATAGCGAGAGAGGGAACACAAGCAGGGGAAGTGTGAGAGGGAGAACAGACTTCTAGCTGAGCAGGGAGCCCAATGCCGGGCTTGATCCTAGGACCCTGGGATCACGATTGGAGCTGAAGGCAGATGTCTAACAAGTGAGCCACCCACGTGCCCCTAGAAAAGAAATGTTAAGCACCATGGAGACTGAATAGGTACTTATATAATGAGAATCCTTTTTTTTTTTTTTAAAGATTTTATTTATTTATTTGACAGAGAGAAATCACAAGCAGGCAGAGAGGCAGGCAGAGAGAGAGGAGGAAGCAGGCTCCCCACCGTGCAGAAAGCCCAATGTGGGGCTCGAACCCAGGACCTGGGATCATGACCTGAGCCGAAGGCAGCGGCCCAACCCACTGAGCCACCCAGGTGCCCCTATAATGAGAATCCTAAAAGGAAAGGAAGAATAAACAGATAAAATACTTAAGTAATAACCAAGGATTATAGAGAAATGAGAGTTTAGGAACTTCAATCGAAAGTTCTCCTAGAAAGTCAAACAAGAAAAATATGAAAAGACATCGCATATTATAATAAAATGTAACAACATAAATTTTGATTTACAACCTTGGGAGTTCCCTAGGTGGGATTTGAAACTGGCCCCCATATATGGCAAGGAAAGACTGAAGGAAGAGGCAGACTACTGCAGGTTGGTAGGCAGCAATTTTAATAAGCAAGGGAACTAATATACTAGGTTCTCTTGAGCAGCTGTTCAAGAGACAAGTTGATCTCTGCACCTGCCCACCAGAATCTTTAAAGTTTCTATACAGGCTTTAACTGGGTTCAGTCCACATGGTCTCAATAACACCTTACTCTCTCAAGGCTGCATCCCCAAAATGACTCCTACTGTGGGAATGCTGGGCAGAACATATATTTCCAAGGGCAGGGGAGGGGGTGAGGAGTCTCCCATTCCTTGGGTGTAGCTCACAGGTCAATTGGCAGTCACTCTTCATGACCTCTTACACAATAAATAGCAAGAAATTCTGAAAACTCCCAGATACAAAACTGATCATATATAAAACAGAGTTCACTGCTAAATCCCCTGTGTTAAAAGCAGTGCCTGGCATTTTGTGGCCCTTTAATAAGTAATAATTGAATAAATAAACCTAATTGTTCACTAGTAGTACTGACTACAGAAGAAAGTGTAATGATATTTTCAAATTGTAAAAGATTAAAAGTTTGAATCTAGAATTTTATATTTTAATTAACTATCATGCAAATGAGTCAAAATAAGGCTACTCTCATGCATACAAGACCTTGGAAATTTTCTTGGAGGATGTATGTCCCAAGAAGGAAAAGAGTTCAGGAAGATGCTTTAGGATATAAAAGACAGTAAGGGCAAAAATAATTTAATAAAGGATTTGTTATCATCTTTAAGGAACAGAGGTAGTGAAACAGGGTGACGCCAACTATATGTACATAACAATTCCACTAAAATCTTAGTACCAGTGAGGATGAGGTTGGGAAGTAGAAATGCACAAATAAGGTGACTA